GAGAGAGAGAGAGAGAGAGAGAGAGAGAGAGAGGAGTGTAGGGGGGGCGACCGTGCATGTCTCAGCTCCCTCCTCTTGAAAATGTAAAAGTCTCTTTCACACCCATCACCCTCTCCTGCCATCCTCTGCTCCCTTACTGCTCCTCCAAGTCCCAGAACCTGGGCAGCCCTGCTCCCTTGCCTTGCCCCTGTGCACTGGATTCCGATAGTGATCTCGGATCCCGGCTTTACGCAGAGCTGGGGTGGGTTATGTTAGGGCCAGGTCTGCTCCCTGCAGTGTCTCGACCATCTCCCACCGCTGCCTGGGCTTTACCCTTCAAGCTCCAGGTAGTCCCCAATCTCCGGGTCCCCGCAGCACCGCGGAGAGCTCCTGGCCTCAAGGGGCCGACCTGGTGGCGGTACTCAAGCTCCTGTAACCAGACCCCTCCAGCCCACATCGGGGCCGGCCTGGAGGTCTGCAGTCCACGAGTGCTAAAGGAGACACGGGAGCGCGGAAGCCGGGAGGGCTCACCGACCGCGGCTCCATTCAGCACCAGGGACAGCGCCTGCCTCTGCAGAGCCTGCACAAGGCGGTGGGGGCTGCGCTCCCTAGGCTGCGGCGCGAAACGGGTCTGCGGCCACTTGTCCCGCAGCAGCTTTTAAGGAGGCCGCTCTAGCTCCGCAAATGATACTCTTGCCCTCTGTCTTCGGCAGCCGCTTAGCTGCCCTTTTTCTACTCCGGAGTTGGCCCCGATCTTCAGAGAGCCCAGCAGGGCTTTGCGTCGTCCGGAGCAAGTCTGTTCTTTCGCCTAGCTCTGACCCCGCTGTCATTACAACGGGATTGTTCCTCCGCTCTGGGCACCTGTAGTCACAGAGGGGATCGGTGTGGTCAGCCCCCTTACCTTCGCGGAGGAACCGCGCGCCGAGGTGGGGGCGGAGTGGGGTGTGTGTGATCATCCCTTATTCGGTGGCAGGAAAAAGACACAGAGCAAACTCCGGGGCTCTATTAATAGCCCGGTGTCTGGTGGGGCTGCCGTACATTTCACATACGGTAACCCATATGCAGCGTGGGGCGGGGATGGGGGTGTGGCGCGGGAACTGTCCCGGCCTTGCCAGAATGCAAAAAACAACGTGAAGACCCTTCTCGGCCTTCTTTCCTAGAGGTCACAACTCATCCCCACCCCAGTGTAGGCAGAAAAGCTTAAGAATTCCCATTTCCTGGGCACTAGAGGCAGCATGCTCTGGCAACTGTCGATTTTTGAAACAAACATGCTCTGGAGCTTGAAAGACACGGGGCATTCAGCATCTAATGTTTTCTCCTTGAGTTAGGGCAAAGCCAGCCTGCATGTCGTTCCTTGGCCCATCCTCTTCCCCACCCCCAGCCCGAGAGCAGACCTTTGAAACCCAGTTTAGCACCAGGCGCTCTGCATCGCGGCAGAGTGGCGCTCTCCATTCCCCTCCCCCTCTGCCCTCTGATCGCCCACCCGAGGAACGGGTTTCTAAAAATAGCTTGGAGTCTCAAGGCCGAGCTCTGGTAAAGTGTTGGGCTAGCCAGCACGTAGCAGTCCCTGCAGCTCGGTAGCTGTAGCTCTTCCCCTGTTTCCCTACCCGAGTTCTGCTTGCTTTAAAAATAAAAATAAAAATGAAGTTTTCGTGGGTCCGGGTCCGCCATCACCAGGACTGGCACGTGGGGTCTGGTGCAGACCCTGGCCACATTCCGCAGTGTGCAGTGGAGGTTGCGGCTCTCTCCCCCTCCTTGAGGGTTAAAGGCGTCCGGAGCAGGCAGAGCGACGCGCGACAGGCTATTTTTACTTGCTTCCCCCGCTGCTCCACGCTCCCCCTTCTCAGCAGTCGCACATGCCAGCTCTGCTCAAGGCATCAATGAAAACAGCAGTAGAGGCGGCAGCGGCCGGGGGCCGGGGGGGGGGGGGGGGGGGGGAAAAAAAGAGAGTGCGGTGTAGAAAAAGAGAGAGGCAGAGACACACACAGACAGAGACACACAGAGAGAAAGACAGAAAGAGGTATGTGCGGGCCATAAAGGCTGCTTGGTCGGAAAAGACCCAGATGGGGCCCCTTGGAGGGACAATGAATCAACAGAGGAGGAAGTTCAGCTCTCAGCAACTTCCTTGGAGAAAGGATGGACCACAGACTTGATCAAACAAACATGCCCAGAGAGGCATCCAGGCCTCGTGACTACTGTTTGGTTTTCCTCCAGGAACCGGCTGTTTTTGGAATAAGCTCGGAGCAAAGCAGCGCTTCCAAAGTGGGGTATTGTGGGGGTGCGTTGCCTGCCTTTGTAGGGTTGACAAGAGCAGCCTTGTGAATGTGTGCAGGTCTGGGTAACATTGGTCTCTGTCCAGTCCCTAGCAGGTACTCCCTCTGTACCAGGGAAACAGAGGTCCCCAAGACCCAGTGCTCTTGCCCTCAAAGAACTCACAGGTTAGTGGACACTCCTGCTGGAGAGCCCTGTTGCATCATTCCCAGCCTCTTGCTGGTGTTAGCACACTCCTGTGTTCTTTCCAGGGAAACAAAGGTTAGTGTTTGTTTCTCATTTTACTTGAGGTCACAGAGTAGCTTAAGGTCAGGGTAGCGTCTACAGCCAGCTGGTGGGTTAAATTGGGCTCGGAAAGTGGATTACCCTCACTTTTGATTCATTGCTCTTTGCCCTACTCTTGCTATTTCTAGCAAGATGCCATGTGTGAATGGGAGTAGCTGAGGAGTGGGAGGGAGAGGATTGCTTTAGAAGGGAGGGAGGCTGAGAGGATGGCATGTTAGAGGAGTTTTTTTTTTTTTTTCACAAGGAAAAGATTGGGAAAGAGATGGCAGTGATGAGGCAGGGGTGGTGGTGAAGGATGGGGGGGGGCAGTGAGGGATGTCACTGTATGTACTGTGACCACAGTCTCCAGGCCTGGAGCAAGGTTAGAAGCTAAGGCATGGAGCCTCCAGTGCAAGGCTTTGTGGCCACAGTTGGTCCTGGGTGTACCCTCAATCACTTCGATTTTGGTTTCTTAACTTGTTAATCTGATCTGATTGTGGGTGTGGAGTAAGGAAACACCGGGGCAGTTAATGACCTCACTTCCTGCTTTGACAAGCCTTGAACTATTGAGGATGACCTTGAACTCCTTATTCCTCTGCCTCTACTTCCTGAGTACTGGGATTATAGGCATGTGACACCAGGGCACTGGGATTTACGCAGTGCTGGGATCAAGCCCAGGGCCTTGTGAATATTAGGCAAATACTCTACCATCTGCCTCCTGGGACATCTCCAGAGCCTCCATGCCCCCTCTTTGTAGCCTACCCTCAGTGCCCCAGGAAGGCCCTTTATCCCTAATCCTAGCCTCTAGCAGCTGACCATATCTGGTCCAGTCTCATCAGCATAGCTGGCTTTTGAAAGGATAACTCTGCTTTGATAGGTCAGCTCTCAAAACTTAGGAGCTACCCCACTTCCTTCAAGGCACCCGGGTTCTCAGCACGGTGGACAAGGCCCTTTAGCATCTGCTCCATGGGAGCCTCTGAGACAGCTGAATTTAGGCCTGAATGATTTTGTGTTCTCCTCCATCTATGATGCTTCTTCCCAGCCTCCTTTATAAAGTCTTCCTCAACCTGCAAGACTCAAGCAAATGCTGCTTCCTCTGGGCAGCCTTCCCAGATCTCATTTAACGTCTCTCCCTGGGGAGAGCAATCTATCGCTTCTTCTTAGGCATTTGTGCTGCCTGCCTGTTGCTTTCCTATTGCAAGATAATTGTGTTTTTATACATGTTTATTTCTCTGATTGGATAGGCAAGTTCTTTTTAAACATGTCTTATTTTTGGCCTGGTATCTGCCACACAGTAAATAATATGTAGATTGAACTGATTTGTGTAATTATAAGACTTTTTTTGACACTTCTGGCTTTCTAAAAATTGGGGTTCCCATCTCATATTCTTGTGCTGTGCTTGAGCTAATGCAATTCTTTAAAACTCACAATGGACCAAGATTCTGGGAATCCAGATGTTGCCACCCCTCAAAGCACTCTGGCACATTCTGGCTATTTATGGACCTATCCAATATTTGGTAATCATTGCCTCTTGCTATGGGGCATTCATTTAAAAGAAGATAAATGTATTAATCACAATGGCCTCTTACAAGCCAGGGCGTTAATGGACCCTTCTCTATTTTTCTGTAGTGATTCTTGGTTACTGACTCCTTGATTGGGGATCCATCACCCTAAAGGAGAACACCAGGGCTAGAAAAAAACAGTTTAGCAATAATCATTTCAAAGAATTCTTTTGGGTCTTCTGTTGACTTGCTGGCCCAGAAAGAGATTCATCACAGACTGAGAAAGATCCTACAGAGTCTGGGTACCCATGAGCATAGCTGGAGTTGTGGGGGTGACTGAGCTGACTTCCCAAGTGCTATGTAGACTTGGAACGTCCATTAGCTTGAGCTTCACTTTCAGCTGAAGTGCTTGGCCCCATTATCCCAATGTCAGAGAACAGGAGTGAGAGGGGCAGCAGGAAGCTGCTTCTCTAAGGATGGCCTGCCTCTAAGTCTTTCTCTGACCACCAAATACCTACTCAGGCACTGGAGTCAGGTGGCTGAGTTTTAAATCCAGTTCGGGCTCCCTAGATGTGTTGCTATGTTGGACGAGCCATTTCAGAAGATTGCTTTTATGATTAAATACATTCAGGCTTGTACTGGGGTCAGGAGACTGGCTTGTTCCTGGCCAACACTTGGTGTCTGACTGCTATTGTGACATCTTATAAGAATCTTGCCAGGAAAAGTTAAGTCTGGGTGGAGGGCTCTTCTTCCTTGCTTCTCTTGTTCAAATGGCCCCTAATCCATAATCCACACCCATTTTTCCGTCTTCAGCAAC